GTTGCTGAATCCTAAGACTTCTTGAAGGGCGGGGGCGACGTTGGGGAGGTGTGGTGTATATATGTTTCCTGCTTCCTGGGGAAGCAACGGAACATGTATACACCAGGATCCCGTATACACCAGGATCCGCTTTCCCGTGCAAGTGTCATTGCAAGGCCAGAAGAAAACGTCGGTGTATAGAGCTTGTTTCCCTATATGGGCAAGCCAAGACGTTCGCCACTGCTTGAATCTCTTGGGGATTATTTTGCTTCCGCCAACTTCCGCCAGCCTGCCGTCGGCTTCTGCCGGCGGAGCCGCTTCCATTTTGCATCCGCCGCCTGCCGCCTGCCTTCCGCCGCGGAAGAGATGGCAGCTGCTTCGATCTTTGAAGGCATGGCCCTTTCTGGAGCGTGCCATCTGGCTCTACGGCAAGTTCGTGTCGTAACGCCTTCGGCGCTGGTTTCTGACACCACGAGGATCGTTCGACCTTGAACGATCGGCGGCTCTTCGATCGCCAGGTCGTCCCATGTTTTGGCCAGTTCTTGAAAGCCCGCGCTGGGGCCGTCGCCGCGTCGACACGGCACGAATCTATCGCACCTGAGGAGCAACGTTAGGGGGGGGGACCAGCTCAGGGGAAAAGAGTCGATCTGGAATCGACGGTACATCGCCCCTCCTTCCTACTGGCCGGAACCAGTGCTCGGGTGTTTCTAGAAGTGCCCCTGGCCGATGGTACCCCCAGGATTCTCGAGGCGGCCCAGACGGCCTCCACGGCACCCTTCACGAGGCCCAGAGGGCCCCAGAAGGCTCCAAAATGGAGCGAAACGATGGGGTCACCTTGGGCTATGAGCACTTCCAGCAACACCCGAATCGGGGATCTAGTGACCCGGGTCAATCCAGACCCGTGTCAGTCAGGCTCTGCAGGATCCTGCAGAATCCTGCAGGACCCTGCAAGATCCTGCACCCGAGCCCGGGACAGTGCAACCCTAGCCCTGCAGTGTCCTGCAGGATCCCGCGCTCTGACTGACCCCTGTTTGCATTGACCCCCGTCTCTTGACGAACGAACGAACGAACGAACGAACGAACGAACGAACGAACGAACGAACGAACAACACACACACACACACAAAAAAAAAAAACATGGGAGGGTCGGAACGAGGAGGACTGGCTGGGGGTATGGGTGCGGGTTGTCGCACCCTCGGAGAAGCTCCCGTTCCAGCGGGAACCCCCATCCGACAACGCGCACCCGGAGCCCCCTCCCGTCCCCCCTATGAGCTATGGGTGCGTGTTGCTCGCTCGTGACCTCTCAGGCTCCGATCGACGTGCTGGGCCACGAGCTCAGACACCACACCGGCCGGCTCCCACGTGGGGGTCCTCGCCGAAGCCGCCGAAGAGCGCCGAGAGGCCGCCCCCGGCAGGCAGCGCCAGCAGCGAGGAGTCCACGCTGCGCGCGGCGCGCCGCTCCATCGGGGGGGGGCGAGCGGGGAGGCGGCGCCCGGGCCGCGGCAGCGAGCCCCGTGCGCAAACTCAAGCGAGTCTTTTTGGAAGCTCATGCGCCTCCTCCTCCTGCTCCTCCTCCTCCTCCTCCTCCTCCTCCTCCTCTCCTCTCCTCGCCTCTCTTCTCCCCTCCTCGCCTGTCCTCTCCTCTCCTCTCCTCTCCTCTCATCTCCTCTTTCCTCCTCCTCCTCCTCCTCCCTCCTCCTCCTCCCCCTCCTTCCTCCTCCTCCATCATCATCATCATCATCATCATCATCATCATCCATCATCATCATCATCATATCATCATCACCATCATCATCATCATCATCATCATCATCAGCATCATCATCATCATCATCATCATCATCATCATCATCATCATCCTCTGCATCCGCCTCCTCCCCCTCTGGAGGCCCGAAGAGCCTCCCAGGAGCATAATCATCATCCTCATCCACCTTCTGCTCTCTCGTTTTTCTGTTATCATTTTGCTTTTTTTTTTTCTCTCTCTCTCTCTCTCTCTTTCTACATGTCTCCCTCTCTCGCTCTTTCTTTTTTTTTTTTTCTCTCTCTCTCTCTCTCTCTCTCTCCCTCTCTCTCTGTCTCTCTCCTTCCTTCCCCTGTGCTCCCCCCCCAGGGTGTCCACAACGGCTGCGGGAGCACACACAGTTCAATAGTATGGCCGGAGTTAGGCCGAACCACCAGCAACATATGCTTTTCCAAGAGGCGCGCAACTAAGCCGAGGCTCAAGAAAGCAAAGTCGCTAGAGCCACTCAGACAGAAACCGTGTGGTACACCGAGGCAGGCACGACGGGGCTTTCCTGGCCATGGCAAGCCCCGGCCACCGAACAGGCTCCCCGACGAGGACATGCAGAACGGCCTGATAGCCAGAGACCCCCGATTGAGCGCGGTCCTGGTCACATCGTCTTGGCTGTAGGGGAAGGTGGGGAGGGGGTTCTGGAGGAGGAGGAGGAGGAGGAGGAGGAGGAGGGGGTTCTTCGGAGGTCTCTGGAAGTGCGCGAGGCCAGGATGAGGAGGAGGAGGACGAGGAGGAAAAGGAGGAGGAGGAGGAGGAGGGGGAGGAGGAGGGGGAGGAGGAGGAGGAGGAGACGAGCGTAGAGAACGAGTCGATTCGACACACCTTTAATCTAACCAAATCCGCCGCCCTCGGAGAGAGCAGAAAGCGAGGGCGAAGCCCCACGAATATCGCAGCATACCTGGGACGCTCCCGAGGCACGCGTGGACAAAGATAACGTAGTACAGAGCCCAGTCGAAGATGAAGTCCGCGCCGACCGATGATGTTCGGCAGTGTGGCGTGCTAGTTCGTCTGCCAGATCAGCGAGAGCCGTGCTGCAACAGCGAAGGTGAAGCAGCTCAGCGCGACGCAGGAAGTGCGTACCAGGAACAGCCCAGTCATATTTACCAGGTTCTGCATGTAGCTCAGCATGGTCTTGGCCCAGGCCACGGGGATCATCACGCCAGCAGAACAATACATCAGGAGGTTGTGCTTCATCATGCTGTGGGTTAGCGGGCGGTGCATGCCAGTGTACGGGCTCATTATGGAAGAACTCCTCATGCAGAAGATCGTCAGATTCCGAATGGTTATCCACCATCACATCAGCAAGGGGCCGCTCGCCACACTGCGGCTCATCATGTTGAGGTCCAGCGGGCAGTGCGTGCGATTGGACGGGCTCGTCCTGAAGAAGCCCTTCATGCATAGTATCATCAATGACTGCCTGCCCCCAGGATTCTCCATCTACCATCGCGTAAACCTCAGGCGCGCTGTGACCAGCAGCACAGGCGTGCCACAGCGTCGCCGACAATGACGGGGTACCAGCATAGCTGTGGAAATGATTGAACAGGCGGGCATGTTCATCAGCAATCGCATGATCAGACACCTCCGAAAGATGTGAGTACGTGCACTCGTCACCGCGAGCACATCGAGGAAAGAAACGGCATGCTGGACGAGTCGCTATCCTCGGACCCACCTCCAAGACCTTCAAGCAGTGGAAATCGACAGCCTTGGACGGCGAAGCCTCAGCACAAACATGCTCACGCAGAACGGCTTCGGCAAAGTCCTCGTTGAGCTCGGGGCCGTCACATTCGGCGGAGAAAGCCGAGGCAGCGCCAGGGGCGCCAGAGTAAGAACCATCACCATGTAGAGGCAGAGAGCCGCAACCAGAAGCAGCGGGCGCTTGCCCCGTGCAAACAGCAGCGACGTCTGCACCAGCACGCAGGTCAGCAGCCGCAGCTCCCTGAAGACCCAGCCGAAGATCGCGCTGAGCATCTCCATCACCGTGTGGATCGAAAGCACCAGGAGGAAAAAGATGAACGCCACCAGCAGCATCGGCCGCACCAGCGCGAGCATGCTCACGCAGACCGGCTCCATCAGATGCCTCGGCCAGGTCTGAGACAGCGGCCTCAGCAGGAGAAGAAGTATCACCACGGGGGTCGCGATCAGCGTCACCTTCCGCATCCTGCGCTCCACCAGAACGAACTCCATGAGGAACGGCAGCTCCGCCAGAAGCATGTGGTGGTAGATAATCTGCAGGACGACGAGGGGCAGGCCATTCACGGACCGCTTTCTCCTCGAACACGCAGAACTCGGATTCGAAGTCCAGGTCATGCACGAAAGACGTGTGGGAATCGCGACTCGACGAAGGGCACGAAGGAACTTCACTAAATGTCTGTTGGCCCACCGGAGCCGGCACAACACTCGCCGCAGACATTTGGGCAGCAGCCGCGACGTCCGTGCCCCCGAGGTCATACCCTGGCGGGGAGTGGGACAAGTAGCACATCAGTTCAGGCAAAGCCTCAGCGTTGACCACACCTATGGGGATCAGGGGCGGCTGGGAGTACGGCAGGGACAAGAAGCCCGACGGGCGCAACATCGTCAGCAGAGTTACGGCCACCTGCAAGAGCGCTGCCACGGCAGCATCCAGCGGCAGCGCCGCAGCGCGCGGCCCAGGAGGGCCCAGCGCAGCAGCGAGGGAGATAGGCGTCGCACCAGTCCGCGCAGAAGCAGCTTGTGGTAGCGGTACGCGGTGTTTGAGGCGTCCGTACCGTCGATTCTCACGGTGCAAATGTGGAAGAGCTTCAGGGGGTAGGAGTGGAGCAGCAGCACCAATAGCCTGGCGCAACGTGTGAGTAGGTTTCCCACCAATTCCTTGCAAGTGACTGTGTAGCTGGAGACCGCGAAGGACCCCACGGGCGTGCTCATGAAGTTCCGCAGGAACGCGAACATGGCGATGACCAGGAAGACGCCTCACAAGAAAGCCGAGCTCGAGAGCGCGACGAGCGCGCCGAGCACGGGCAGAAGGCGACCGACAGTGCGGCATGACGTCACCGTGTCCAGCGACAGCAGCAGCCACCAGCCAGCAGGCGGCGGCAAACGCAACACATTGCATGCATGGGCGCGCGGCGCGTGCGGGGCCGCAACCTAGCATGGACTTGAGCCAAAATGGCTACGGAGGAGGAGGAGGAGGAGGAGGAGGAGGAGGAAAAGGAGGAGGTCTCTGGGAGGGGCTCCCCTCCCCCCCGCTGCGCGCCTGGCCCTGGCCGCCCGTGCCCGGGAAGAGCTGGCAGCAGGCCTGCACGCCCTGGTCGTCGTGGACCTCCACCTCCGTGGGCCTGCGCCGGGGGCTGGGGCAGGGGGGCTCTCTCCCCTTCCTCCTCCTCCCTCCTCCTCCCCCCCCTCCTCCCTCCTCCTCCTCCTCTTCCTCCTCCTCCCTCTCCTCCTCCTCCTCCTCCTCCTCCTCCTCATCCTCCTCCTCCTCCTTTTCCTCCTCCTCCCTCTTTGCCTCCTCCTCCCTCTCTTCCTCCTCCCCCTCCTCCTCTTCCTCCTCTCCTTCCTCCTCCTCTTCTTCCTCCTCCTCCTCCTCCTCCTCCTCCATTTTTCCTTACCAAGAACTCCGGAAGCTTCCTCCTCCATTCCTTTCCGTATCGATAATTCCCTGCCGCGGCCCGAGGCCAATCGGAAGAGCGGGCCAAATCCGGAAGCTTCCTCCTCCATTCCTGTCCTTATAGATAGTTCCCTGCCGCGCTCCGAGGCCAATCGGAAGAGCGGGCCTGGCGATTCGCCTGAGACTTCCTTACCACGTATGTTTCCTGAAGCTTAAAGACTATCAAGCTTAAAACTATCAACGGCTTCACAGATGGTGGGCGGGTCGCTTTCAAAATATGGTTGTCGCCCTAACGTCGTGCACGTTCGCGTCTTAACCAATGCCAGAGTTACGCTGGTTGAGGGCGGGGTGGCTCTCGTCTGAGCGCCGCGCGCAGTCGTCTGAAACATTTGCGAGGTTTTGACTGATTGTGGTTCTCGCCTGAGCGCCACGCACATTCGTTTTTTAATCAACTGTAGATGATATCGCCCATTAACGGGGGCTCCTTTACGATATGTGGATCCCGCCTTAGCGCCGAGCTCATTCGTCGTACAAGGTAAGGATATCAAGGCTTTACGGATTGAAAGCGGCTCCTTTTCAAAATGTGGCTCTCGCCAAAGCGCCGCGCACATTCATATGAAAACGCCCCCTGGCCACCGTACAAGAAACGATAAGTTGGAACGCTTCAGGTTTGTCAAGGCGTAGCAGTTACCATGATTCGTGGTGAAATCCCAGGAATGGCGTTCTGGCGCGATTCAGGATCGCAAAGGTGCACCAGTCAGGTTGATTCTTAGCGTCGTACGGTTGTCTCCCAAAGGGGCAGTTCCCTCAGCGGACATGACCCCTTGCACTGGCCTATGAAGAAGGAGCTTGGTGGGAGGGCTTCTTCCAACATCGCTGATGAGTCTTGGGTTTGCACTGTCCTCCTCCTCCTCCTCCGCTCCCCCCTCGCTCCCTGCCTCGGAAGGGGGAGGGTTCAGACAACGCCCCGCTCCTGAGAGGAAGAGAAAGGCCACACGCTCTGGAATTGACGCTTCGCGCGACGCGGCGGCGGCGCCGGCGCCACGCGCCCGGCGCTCGGCTAGCGCGTCGCTCCGCTCCGCGGGGCGGGAGGCGGGGCAAAGCTCGGGACGCTGCACGCTGCTGCCGGGGGACTTGGGCGTGGACTGCGTGTCGCGCCGAAGCGTGGTGGGCCAGGACCGGCGGCGCGGTGCGCTGAGCCACCGCTCCTGACCGTGCTCCGGGTGGGATAAGGATCGCCCCCCCTCGGATCCGCTGGTGGGGTTGGGCACGCGCTGTCGGCACGGGCGGAGGGGGGGTTGGAGAAGGAGGAGGAGGAGGAGGAGGAGGAGGAGGAGGAGGAGGAGGAGGAGGGGGAGGAGGAGGGGGAGGAGGGCAGAGGGGGGCGGGATTGGGCAAACTCCGTCGGGAGGTGAATCCCCCCCCCCTTGATAAATACCCCGACCAGAATAGTAACCACTCGCCATCGCTCGGACGTCCATGCCCTGTGCTTTTTGTCGGTTTCGTGCGTGGTTTTTTCGCCAAGTGATCAAGGATGCTCCTCGATGGCCCTCGCCGAAGGAAAAATGCACACGTCCGAGCGATGCCAAGACCACAAGCGGAGGGGAGTTATCCGCGCGGATCTCTTGGCTCGGCGGCGGTGGACCCCCCCTTCCCTGGCGGCGCGCAGGGCGCCCCCCCGCCCGGAGAGAGGGCCCAGCGCGCGGTTGCGAGGAAGCCGCGCGGACGCCAGGGACTGTGTGGTCATGCTGTGTGTTCCCTGATTGGACTCCTCTCCTCTGGCCATCGCTCGGACGTCCATTCCCTGTTTTTGGTCGGTTTCGTGCGTGGGATTTTCGCGAAACGATCAAGGATGCTCGTCGATGGTCCTCGCCGAAAGAAAAATGCACACGTCCGAGCGATGCCAAGTCCTTCGCTCTCTCCCTCTCCACACTCTCGGCATCCTCCGGCATAATCTGATAATCCCCCCCTCAACGCTCAACAAAAAAGAGGTGGCCGACAACAGGAACAAAACGGCGGGGCGCGCCTGAAGTCGCAATCGTCGTGAAAGAAATGACGACGCGACAGCGACACGGCTACCCCTCCCTCTCCCGTCACCCCATTCATCCCTGGATCCCACCCCCCCACCCACCTGTCCTCGCTGCGTTCGCAGTGCTCCCCGCCATCATTCGGCCTCGCAAACGGCGTCAGCGTTCTCGTCATTAGCCGTGTCCTGATCCTGTCTTCCCGTCCTCCTGCTCGTCGTGGCTGTCGTAGTCCATCTCATTGTCGCCGTCGTCGACCCCATGCTGTCCTTCTCGTCCTCCAACGCATCGATGCCCTACTCGCCAACCTCCTCCACCATATCGTCCAACTCCTCCTCGACTTCCGCATCCTCGTAGCGTACTTGTTAATCTCCTCCACGTCCTAACACTCGCCCTCTTCCTGCTCTGGATTGTTGCCCCCATTTCTTCATGCAATTCTTCTTCATCTGCTCCGTCACCACTTTCTCCATCCCTTCTACTTGAAGATCATTCCTCCCTATCGCGCCCCCAGAAGCGTCGGTAGGGCGGGCCGGGCATGTCACCTGAGATTTGCTCACCATGATCCTGAAGCTTGAAACCTGCAACGGTTACGCCGATGGAACACCAAACGTTTTCAGGATGTGGATCTCGCTTCAGCGCCGCGCGCATGTGTTTTAAAAGATCCCGGAACTTACACGGAAGAAGAACAAGTGGTCATCAAGCTGTGGCTCTCTCCGCACGCAACGCCGCGCACACTCGTCATGCAATATTACCACAACTGCCAGGGTGGACTCACTATAGTTCGGAAAATGTCTCTCTCGCCTCAGCGCCGCGAAGATTCGCCTTGCCAGCTTGCAATAGTCAAACGGTTGGAGGGTGGCTTCTTTTCAAAATCTCAGTCTCCCCTCATGGTCACCCGCATTCGTCATAAGAGCTTGCAACATTTACGCGGATGGAATGCGGGCCTCTTTTCAAACCGTGGCCATCGCCCTAGCATCGCACATGTTTGTCTTACACATCTGCAACAAGTACGGGGTATTTAAGGGGCTGGTCGTGTTTGAAGTGTGGCTCTCGCTGGTGGCTCCGATGCACAGAGAAGACCAAGCAAACGAACATGCATAACGTCTCCGCGGATGGAGGGCGGATCCTTTGCAGAACGGGGCCTCTCGCCTGAGACTTCCTGGGGATCCGTTGCCAGCCGCATAACCTTGTGCAGCCGCTGCACAGATGTGGGTGGCCATGTTCTCGAGGTCTCGCTGGGCCCCTCGCTGAGCTGTGCGGTCACCCTTCTCACCTCCTTGATCATCGCTAGATTAAAGGGTCCTTTTCTGTCTTCCCCCCCACTTCCCATATTTTCGCATATTTTCCTGGGGATCGACGATTACTTGTGTCTGTGTGTTTCTTTCCCTCCTGATAGATGGGGTGCAGGGCAGTGGTGTCTTGTCAACGCGCGGCTCTCGCCTGACTGGCAGGCCCGTGGGAGCCGGCCTTTTCAAGAGGGCACGTCTTGTCGTGGCGAGGAAGGCCTGCTCGGATTTCTGAGGGGACTTGGGACGGGAGGGTGCGGTGTTGCAGCGCTGTTGCTACATCCTGGGGTTGCCTCTCCTCCTCCTCCTCCTCCTCCTCCTGCTCCAACTCCTTTGAAAGGGGCCCTGGGACACACAAATAAATACACACAAATAAAAGCATCCCCATATTTTCACATATTTTCTAGGTTTTTGTCTTCCCGCCCAATTCCCATATTTTCCCATTTTTTTCTGGGGGATCGACGATTAATTGTGTGTGTGTGTTTTTTGCCCCCCTGATCCTTGCCTTCGCCCTCCCCCTTCGGATCGTCATCCTCCTGCCTGGTTTTCTCGAATCCTACTCCACGCCCTCCTCCCGCTCTGCCACCCAGCAAGCGATCGCGACCGAGGCCCTTGCATCCAACCCATTCAGAAGGCAATGCGAATTCATCGCGCTCCCATTTCAAACGCGCGTGTGGTCGTCGGCCCTGCAAGAGGCGTGGCGGGAAAGGGACGCGGGGCACATCCCGCGCCGGAGCGCGACATGTCGTCGTCGCCTCGGCGACGCGCCGATTCCTCTCCTGGGAGCTGACCTCCAGCTCGGGCGCGGCACGCACTCTTCTGAAGGGCCCCAGGACACACAAATCCGCCGGCCCCCTTGTGGGGCCACCAGGCTGCGAGACACGGGTTCGCAGTTTCCAGTACCAGTTGTAGCTTGTAGTTTCCAGTGTTACAGTTCTGCTTCTCGCTGGTTACTGTAACTAGTTGACTTCTTGCTGGTTACTGTAACTAGTTGATTGACCGCGCGAGGGGGGGGGAGGCCCAAAAGGGATTTTTAGCACCCCCTGGGCGCGTTGTCTGAATTGCTGGGGGGGCTCGAAATCGACACCCCTCACGCAGATCCGCGGGGTCAGGGTCCAAAAACACATGAGATTTGCCACATTTCTGAAATTCGGTGCCACCCCTCACGCAGATCCGCGGGGTCAGGGTCCAAAAAACACATGGGATTTGCCACATTTCTGAAATTCGGTGCCACCCCTCACGCAGATCCGCGGGGTCAGGGTCCAAAAACACATGGGATTTGCCACATTTCTGAAATTCGGCGCCACCCCTCACGCAGATCCGCGGGGTCAGGGTCCAAAAACATAAGGGATTTGCCACATTTCTGAAATTCGGCGCCACCCCTTACGCAGATCCG